CTTGTATAACAGGCTGATGTCTACCCAGAGAGGTGGTACTGGTTAAAAAAAATGGCTTCTTCTGCCAGCAAAAACACACTTCCAATAGCTGGAAGCTAAAACCTCAAGCTAGAAATAAGGCAAAATACTTAGCTATAGAAGCAGCTTTGGATTCCTCCTCAGTAAATACTCACAGAGGCACTTACAAACCGGAGTTCTACACTTTTTTTTTTTATTCTGATGTCAGGCTGGATTATCACAACAAATACGACAGACTTGAAGATCTACAAATGAAAGCATATTTTAGAAATTATTTCTTTTAATCTTTGTCATATCACTGATATTAACCTCTCTTTCAAAGCAAGATCCCTTCTGCTCGACTCCTGATGACACTTCTAGACTCTTCAGGCCTCTGTACTAATTCAGTGTTGTCACATAACTTGTTTTTTTTGATTTAGATTATATCAGGATACTGCAAAGGCCAGTAGGCCCTTGGACTCATGACACTATCTTCAGACTATGTAAAACTCACTATGAAAACTTCAGTGTCATCTTCAGAGTAGTTCAACTGCATCTGAATTTCACCTCCTTACAAATTGTTACCATTAACTGAAACTGTTAAGAAGCAAATATTAGAGTTGCTGTCATCCACCACACTTTGAAAGGTGCCTGTCAGCACTACAAACTGCCATTTAAAATCAACACTTCTGTCACTTATTACTAAGTATTTTAAGTTTTTTTTTTTTTTTTAACCTAAGTACACACTCGATTTAATAGGCAGGGAAGAGACAAGTAGGCAGGTAACTGAAAATCCTGCATACTCTTCATTCATAGGTCTTGCTACAAAAGTGGCTCTTCTCATTTAGGGAGAGCTGTTTCTTTGCTCATCTCTATCGAATTCAACATGTGCAACTTTTCTACATATAATAGAACAAATTTGGGCAATTCACCTTCCAGGCAACAGTACAGCTACCAACGTACTCAATTCTTCCCATTTAAGTAGTCCCACCTCCTGAATATGGAAACTAGCTGTTGCATTTTGTTCGTTGTATTATATTCATCTTATATTCAGACTACTCGACTCTTCAGCTTCAGACAGAAAGCCCTGGCCCCTCCTACCGCAGCTAACTTCTGCTGTGGCCACACATTTGTATTCATGAAAAAGCGTGACCAAAGTCAGTGAGCACTTACCTATACCCTCTTCTGCCTGGCTCAGAGAGACCAGAACTGGCTGCAAGGTGTTCTTTTTTTTACTAGAGATCCTTTTAACAAACAGAAAGTTTTAGAAACGCCTATACCCTCTCTGCCTGGCTGCAAGGTGTTCTTTTTTTACAAGAGATACTTTTAACAAACAGAAAGTTTTAGAAACAATTCAAAATGTAATTTGTTATGAGCACCTTCTCTTTACGTTTGCTATAATTTGAAAACTTCCTTTATAACCATTTTAAGTAAAGAGAATGACGTACAAACAATAGAAGTACTTCTCAATATTTAACTATACCTAGCTAAACTGTAATACTAACAGTATAAAACATTAATTAACTATTAATAAAATGAGCTCCTTTTAAAACAACTGAGGCTGTTAAAATGACAAAGATTCTTCACCATCACATCATGAATGAAGCATGTGAGAGTGATGATAAAAACGAAAAAAAAAAAAAACACAAATGTTCATATGAAACACTAAATCACTATTATCAAGCCTTAATAAATACATGCTTTTATGACTTTGACTCTAGAATTTATATGACAAAAACATAGGCTGTATTATGTATTTTCCTAAGAGATACTTTGAAATGGAAAAGAAAATATGACTTAACATTAATATCTGCTGATAGTTAGAGCATTTATAACTTTTTTAAACCACTGGGCTAAAAACTTACGAGAACAAACTGTAAAATTAAACTTACAACATATTGCTGACCATTGGAGCCATTGGAGGCTGACCAACATATTATTTAAAGGTAGCATAAATTCAAAAAAATACTACAATTGTGTTACATTTCAACATATTTAGCTTACTAATAATTATTAACTATATTGTCAACTGTCTCCCTATGAAATAGCTGGTTATTTGTGCTCATTAAGAATAATGAGTTTCCTGAAATTTCGGATTCCAGTGACTGTTGGGGAACTATTCTTTTCCTAGAAGCTCCTACTGAACTGTCCATAGCCTTAATTCTGACACAGATGAGAATCGTGTAGTTCCAGCAAGTACACAGGAGATTAAGGTCTGTCTGTGGCATGTGAGTGCAGAACTAGGGGAAAACAAGCGTTTTATGGACTTTTACGCAGCTTCCAACAGCACCAAGTTCCTTTGCTGCAAGATTTTTGGGCTGCTGTTACGCTACAGCTTTGTGGCAGTACAATAAAAGGGCTGAACTCTTGGCTGGAGTCAACTTTTAATTTGTTTCTTTAGCTTCAGTTCCACTCTACAGCTAAAGTAACTTTTACTCACAGTCAGGACAAAACAGGTTCTGCATATTCGCATACTGGAAGCTGTGCAATTTAAAACATTTTAAAACTGTTGGTTGCAAGAAGAGTTGGCTCCCACAGGACATTTTTGGAAAAACAACTAGAATTGGCACAGCCTGGTCTGCTCTTGAAAAGAGCATTACTTCCCTGTGCTTTAATATGAACTTCAAAGGAAAGTTCATATTTCTGAACTTTGGCTGAAAGTACAGGAAAAAATATTCTAAAAGGCTGAAAAATAATGTTTCTCTCCTACGTAGTGGCAGGCTGCTAAAGGGCTCTAGAGCTCCACAGTTCCAGGGCTCTCTGCAAACATCACTGAGTTGTAAGAATTACACAACAGAGAACCAGGATCTGAAAAGCACGCCCATTTGTGGTCACTTAAAAATAATAATAAAGAAAACAGAGCAAAAGAGAGAGGAAGAAAAAAAATATCTCAAAACCCATCATTTTCCCATGTAGTCTCAGCAAGTCTAAAAATAGTTGATTCAGATACATGGTTATATACACTGAAGGCTCCATTTTTATCTAAGATGTTCGGAAGCATAAAATAAAAATAAATAAATAAATAAGCATAAAAGTTACCCCTTTCTCCCACAGATGACTTCTTATCAACTTTTTTTTTAAAATAAATGCTACCATTAATAGCATCTATATATAATAATGAAATCTATACCTACACCCCTAAAAACAACCATACTTTGACAAAAGGAAAAACATTTAATTTGTAACTTTCTTTCTAGATGTAAGGGAGGAGGAGTAACTAAGGCTTTCACTGACAAATTAGCATGCATATTCTTTCCTCTGAAAACACTCAGTAATTTCTTTCATACCTGAGGTACAATATGTTCATTAGGAAACATTCTGAGGATGCACAGCTGCACTGGCATAATTTCTATCAATGCTTTTGGAAAAAAAAATATTACCATAATATGCTGAGATTTTAAAAGACACAGATTAAGACAAGCATAATCAGTAGTGTTTCTAACTGGGATAGCGCAGCAGCCCTCTGAGGCTGAGAGATGAGCCGAGATCAACACGCTTCACACAGACTGATAAATGATCACTCAGTGCAGGGGGCAGGGGGGAGGGTCCTACATGCAAATGAAGTTTTTTTTATGTTTAATGGGATTTTTACCACTTCCCATACTACACATCTGCTATATTCTCCTGGAATGATAATTTCGGTTACTGTTAGAAAGGAAGCCAGCTCCCCCTTCAACACTGCCGGGTGAATGCTCTCAAAGTATAACCTGTGGAATGGGGCATATTACCTGTGAATTATTAAAAGATGAAAGACTGGCTCGCTTTTTATTACACATTGACGGACCTACTAAGGCAGTACCAAACTGTACATTCGGAGCTCTTGGGATCGGTTCGGTAACTTCCTCCAAAGGGGTATCCTAATGATCCCCACGGACTTCGGCAGCCCCTTGGCTCCCTTCCCTCTCAGCCCCTCACTCCGGCTCTGCGGGGCACGGCGGAAAAGTGAAAACGCGCCGAGGCGCTCGGAGTAACTCCGAGCCCAGGGCAGCTCCCGAGCTACCTGCGAAGCGGCTGCCGGAGCCGGGGCTGCCCTTCCC